ATTATTGTTTAGTTTAGGGCATGAGTCCACTTATTCACTTTAATTGTCACATACTCCTTAATGAGGACCACTGCTTATGTAAACAAGTGCTACATAGGGGCAAGGGTTGCWGAACTGGCACTAAGAAATTGCATTAAGGATACTTTTAACCTAAGAATTAACTGTGAATTCTAGTGGCTTGCTTATTTGAGTGATCTCTTTTTTTCACTTTTTTTTTTTCTTTTTGCATTCTCCGCATAGATTTAGCCTCCTCCAGCAAATCCTCAGGGAAAGCTGAATGCTTGCTTTGCATAGAGTGGAAAAAGACTTGCATTCCAGTACTTTATCTAAATTTTCTTATAATCCGATTTAGTTTAGAATACAAGTTTAAAAAGCACTTAGATCTTTTTGTAATTCTTGCACAGCCATTCACAATGGATTTGTACAGTGCAAAGTGAGAGATTTGGGTTCAGAATGATAAATTTTCAAAGAAAACAGATGAGTTGTTGTTCTTTGTAGTTTAACAGATTTCATTATTATTACCGTCACTCCAACTAACAATACGTGACAGAGGCAGTCTGCAGATAGAGACGTGCAGCGTAGAGACTCCATGCTTGCTGTATATGCAGAAAGATATGGTTATGTTCCTCTATTCCTGTTGCAAACAGTGTAATTACATGAAAAATAAAGAAAAACAAGAAAAAGGCTGGCATGATTTGAACAGGAGGAAAAGAAAGTAAAATGGCATAGAGTAAGAAGAATAGGATGTGAAAAAATGCTTTATAAAGTCAGATACAAAAAGAGAATGGTTTTCATCATCTAAGCCATCCCAGTTGGCTTCATCAACATTTTTATGTTGGTAGACAAGCAGCAAAACAAGAATTATTTGGTACATAACAAGATGATCAGAAAACCAGAACAAAGTGGAATTTATCTTCAACTTATTTCTTCTTATGGATATAAAGAGACTTAATGATTCCGAGACCTGGCATTGRGAGCAGTTTTATCTGGCTTAGCTGGACTAAAAGTCTAATATTAGCTATGGAAAAACAGGTGGCTATGGAAAAACAGGTGTGTTTTGAATATCTTTGATCCTTCAAACATTCATAAAATAAATGTGTATATAGTTTTGTTGTAGCTCTGATGGTCTTAAGGCACTGGCAGCAACACAAGTGTATTAGTGTAAAAATATCGGCATGCAAATTGATAGGGCAGAATTTAGAGAGGTGTATCCATCTGTAACACAAAAATATTTCTGTTATTTTCTTTCCTTATTCTATGTTATAGCTAAACTGGTTTTTTTAATAAGAAAATATCCTCAGGTTTGTTTAATAAAATATATTTTGACTTTTATTTCATTTGACAAAGGTGCTTCCCCTTTGTCTTAAGTCTGTTTTATGTGTATTTAACAGGTGATTTTAAGTTATGTATGTAAGAATGCTCTCCTGTTGCCTTGTCTTGCTTTGCTACCTTAGAAAGATGTCCATATTTGACAGTTCACAAGACTTAAACATGGAGATAACATAAGGTGTACTGCATGGTTCTGCTTGGCTAACTGTGTGTGGTGAAAGACTATTTGACTATTGCTATATATTCATTTTTGTTCTCAGGCTCAGTAATTGATACCCTATCTAGAGAAGGGTTTGCAGAAAAAAGAAAATAAACAACAGAAAAATAAAATTTCTTTTATAATCCCACATGAGAAACGCATTCTACGCTCTTACTATTTAAAATTGTGGATATAAAAAAAAATGCTCCCACGCTGAGTAAACATTTGTTGAATTGCTTTCTCAGAGAGAAAGGAAACGTTTTCTTTAGCAAGGAAAGGGAACATACAGAAAGCACCAGGGACTCCTCTGGCTTTTGAAAGTSCATGGGAGTCTAGTGTGTGTTGCTAATCCAAGTATGTGACTTTCTTTGTGGGGCTCTGGGTGACTTCCCAGCCAGAGAAACTGTAGTTGCTGCAGGCTGTCATTGCCATGCACTGCAATACATTTTTGCAATGTGCTTGCAGCTCCTCTTGCAGATGTATTGCTCCTTCCTTTAGTTACAGCTTGGCACAAATGTTCCCTTCATGTGTATCTGAACACCCTCTATCTCTTCTGTTACTCCATGTGTCTTGTATGTCTTCTGTTACTCTTTCCATCCATTACCCATCCCAAATGTACCTTCGAGAAGAACTTGGATATTGCAGAAAGATGATGAGAGGGGTACTAAAAGCTTCTGGGGAACTTGGTGCCTATGCTGCCTTATTTCATCTGGGGAAAGGAGATGCACACAACCTGTGAGAAATTGTCTCAGCAGGAGTTAGTGTACATGGATTATTTAATACCAAGTAAGCATAGTGCCTTCTCTTTTATTATTTTTTATGCTTACAGTATGATATTGAGAGCATTCCTTCGCTGTGGTGAGATTGCTGCCTAAGGCAGCCCCCAAAGAGTTGCAGGAGCAGTAGCCCACTGCATTCAGGTTGTTGCGTGTCTCTATGAAGCTTTAAAATGCTTGAAATTGTCTTCGAAATGAAATATTCTGTAGCTTGAAGTTAATTGCATGCTTTGTAATACTTACTTAGCCAAATAAAGCCAAATTTGGAGGAACAGAGAAAGATGAGATTGATGGCTAAAAGAACATGATTAAATAAAAAAATCATAAAGAAGAGAAATTGAAAATTATCATCATAGACTTTTGCCCAATGCACAACTTCCAAAAGTAGTTTTCTTCTTTTTCAACTGCTAGCATGCATTTTATCCCTCATCTTTGCTGGAAGACTAGAAAGACCTGTTCTATGAGAAAAATGGGGATGGTGGTATGAGATTAGTTGTGTTTGTTGACTCCAAGAACAGCAGTTTCCAAATAAGTTTGTCAAACCTCTACTAGCTTCATTGTATTTTCCAAAGGTTGTGCAACAGATTAAATAGATGACCTTCTAGACAGAGAACAAACTGTTCACAATATTTTTCACTTTCTGAGACAATATATTCTTTTTATACAGAAATAATACTTTCCAGTTTTAAATAATGTTGATGAAATATAACAAATTTAATGGTTTTATTTCTGAGTACAGGAGTTTTAGCTGTACATCTTCATATCAGGAATCTTTTCAGAGACCAGCTGTGCTGAATGCATTGATCTAGCTAAGTTTATTTTTACTATGATGATGTATATTTCTAAGACACTAGAGATATTTTGGATCCTTTGCTGCTACGATGGAATATCATTAACTATCTATCAATGTGATATCCATATGACATCTGACTTTGAATGAAATATGGAAGAAGTCTTGTCATCACCCTGTGCTGTAGTTGTGGCATTAATATTTTCCTGGAATGGTCCAAGGCAGCTTTAACTGAAGGGTCATGGTGGAATTTGAGCCAGAAGCTACTGGGATGCTGTTGGCTGCAGGCGCACACGCCAGCACCAGCTTTGATTGGGAAGGTGACACACAAACAGTGAGATGATCGGTATATGGAAGGCAAGGCTCGTATGAGGTATGATTCAGTCTTTTCAGTTTTAAATCCCCCACGGAAGTCACAGCTGAGGAAGAAACTGCTGAAGTATTTTTTGCTCTACGGTATAAGAGATGTACTTCTGTTAACCTTCAGACTCTGTCCATAATCCTTTTCTCACCTGGTAAAATAGCTGGTGCAAAGCTGTTTTCTTGTTAAGGGAGATATATATAGTATATTTGCTAGAATTCAAAGTAGTATACTGAATGGGAACTATTAAATATCTAAGAAAATGTCAGAGAAAATCCCATATTTTTGCAGAAGAAAATCCATTCTGAGGTACTGATACTAAATTCTTCTGTCAGTTTGCAAAAAAGCTAAAGGTTGTGTTCTTGAGGTAGAAATGCAATCCTAGATCACACATTACATGTATGAGTAGTTAACTAAAATTTATTTTTGGTTTAGAGTTAGAAGATAACATAGGTTGGAGAGGACATCTGGAGGCCACCTGATCAAACCCCTACTCTAAGAAAGATCTAGTTGCTCAGGGCCTGGTCCTGGCAAACTCTGAAGATAACTGGTGTTTGAGATCAGCAGTCTGTCTCAGCAGCCTGTTCCAGTGGTTGACCAGCTGCACAGGAAAGAATTGACACTTTAATCCAGATACATTTTCCTTTGCTTCCTTCTGTGATCATTGCTCCAATTGCTGTATACCTCTGGGAAAAGTCTGATGAAATCTTACCTTTACTGTGTTGTTAGGCAGCTGAAGACTGCGATAAGATCCCCCYACCAAGGATCTTATTGCTGAGCAAACCCTATTCTTTTGGTCTCCCTTCATATATCTACTGCATGGTCTAAAGGTTTGGAAGAATCCTAAAAATTATATGGGAATGAGAAAGTTGTATTGAAGTCAGAATTGACAGTACATTTCTACTTGAAAATCTGACGTACTCCGGTTGCAGTGAGTAGAAATGTTAGATCAGGAAGGGGCTTCAGTCCCTTGCTACAACACTGACAAAAACAGATGGAGGAATGACAGAAGTAGGAAAAAAATATTTATGCAAATAAATGAAGCTTGGTAAAAACTTTCAAGATTTCAAGTGGTGCCTATAAGACAGATCGGCTGAAACATTTAACCCTTTGTTTATTCTTGCATCTCAAATAATCTCCCTAAAAATACTGCATTTGCATTTCTAGAACAAATTATCAAAGCTGGTGGGAAGATTGCTTTGCTGGGACTTCCTAGCAGAGCCAGGCGGGATCGTCGTGTTTATGATAAGGACTCTTATTTATTAATTACTGAGCTGTGGCTTGTTTTGCATACATTCCCACTTGTGCATTCTTTGAGCATAGGGGATATGTTTGTTTAGTAAGGATCTCATTTCCRCCGTGACAACATGTTGTGAACTGCTACAAGCTTCGTTTTCAAATCAGTAATTTATTACTTGGATTTAAATTCTTTTTTTTTTTTTTTTTAGAGTTTCTATTCCTGCCATATAAACTAACAAGAATAGATATTCTTGTTTTGACCTCACTAATATATTGTACCTTGGGATTTTTTGTCTTCCTCTGCAGAAACTCTTCTGGATGATTTTCTTCTCACATACACAGTCTTCATGACGACTGATGACTTGTGCCAGGCACTTCTGAGGCAATATCCTTTATTAACTCAGGAATACACAGGCATCTTGCAATTACGCTTAGCTYCGTGTATTTTTAAGCCTTATTGTATCAAAAGTAGTAAATTGCATGCTTGGGAGGATTAGCTTTGCTTTTTGCATATTGATATTATTGAAATGATTATTGAACTGCATGTGACAGTTGCCTAGGAAAAYGAGAAAGGAGAGCTCTTAACTAATGGTCATTGTGGTATGCAGAGGAAATGGACTTCCTCTGTGGTTTTTTTTAGCATCAATCTCCTCAAAATTGTGTGAATGAATTGGAAAAAAAAAGCCAGGAAAGTGCAATGGGAGTGATCAGCAATCTAGAAAATCGGATTTACAAGATGAATTGGAAGAACTAGGATTTTTTTTTCCTTTTTTTTGAAAGGAGAGACACCTTAGATGCTTTCGGGTCTTCAGGTGCCTGGAAAAGAAGGGAACAATCTGTTCCTGTGCTGGGGGTAGATAGGAGAAGAGACTCTGAGATTAAATTGCTGTAAAGTTAGATACCAAGACACTTTTTTACATAGAAAAGAGAATCAGTAGAGCAGACTACTTGAAACATGATAGAATCTTTAATATTAGAGATTTTTATAGAGAAATCTTAGAGTTCTTCTAATTTGCACATGCCCATAAATATATGTATATGTTTTCCTATGAAAATAGCATTATGCATGTAGAGTTCGCAAGGCTGATGAATCAGTAATCAGAAAATTCATGCTCTGAAGCTGAAAGTGCAAAATTAAATCTGTTTTTGAATAAGCTTGTATCCATAATTTCAAAATATGAGATATTATGTGATCACATATCTGAAGAAAATTATTACAATGGAAAAATATAAGAAGTAAAGGGAAATGGTTGAATTCAGTACTTTATCTTTCATTTTTGAAGTTCTTACTGTCTGAATATATAAAATTAGTGTATTAATTTTGTCTYCATGCAACCTCGTAATAAACTGTGTGTAATATATTAATATTGCTTCCTCTTCATTCTTAAGTTTCTTACTCAAATAAAGATGTTTTCTATTTTTGTAGAAAAAAAATATATATTAGGATGGATTAAATCTTTATTTTCCATTCCCAGATATTAATGTTGTATGTACATTGCTAGGAAATTTTATTCCTGTCTTCATAAATATATGTTTGTATATGCGCATACTTACTTCACAAGAATTTTTGAAAGATGTATTGAAACAGATGCCTAATTCACAATAACAAAGCAGATCTTATGATTTTTTTTTCATTTAAAGCCATATGTATATTTGTGTATATAAAGCTATATATATGTGATAACGTTTATAGAATAACTTTTAAAATCAGATTAAAACCTGGGTAGGATAAAACCTGTCTAGATGATATATTAATTATTAGAGTACCTCTATCTGTGTAATACACTTAAAAATGTGAGAAAATAGAAATGGAGGATAAGGATTTTACAATTATTGTTCCTTTTATTCTGAGGAATAGTACATAACTCATTTGTAAACAGAAGATTTTTCAGGTATTGCTGATTGCTTCCATAAAYTGTGGACTATTATTTAAATTAACTTGTACCTGTAGCATTAACTTCCCCCCCCCCTCCCCCATTCTTGTATGAAATATCATCACCAGAGATGGGACAGGAGCCATGTATGAAGTGGGAATCTTTTTTATTTGATGCTTCTGCTTTATGGATAGAGCAATGGTGGAAATGGATTATTTTACCCTTTTTTAATAGCGTTTTTTATGCTGGTAGTGTAATTTGTGCAGGTAGAAACTGACTTCCTCTACTCAATTTTGGTTTTGTTGTTAATGATGCATTGTCCTTCTTACAGACATTGATGCTTGCATCTGTGTGTAGGACAAGAGTTCATCCCCATTTTGCAGGGAAGATGTGACTCGACATTATATAATTCCCTTTAGTTCAATTTTCCTTTTATAGTCTTGTCTCTCTAATGTGAAAAGGAAAAAATCTTTTTGGCACAGAGGTTGAACTTGTATTTCTATTACCGAGCATTTCATTCCAAAAAATTGATGAATGTCCTAAAGCTCCAGACAGCATATCAAATGGAGCAGTGTAGTGAAGCAGTCTTTTATTAATAGAATAAAGGATGGTTAAAGAATCTTTTTCATCACTTAATCTGTACATTTCAGTGACACCATAGCATTTGTTCCTTAACCTACTGTACCTATTGTGCTAAGAACCAGCAGGGTAAAGAAGAAGACTCTGATGTATCCTGTAGGAAAAGAAAAGTCTTGCATTTGGTGTCTCAATGGACTTCTCTCTACAAAGACTGGTTACATGAAGACGAGCATTTAAAACAATTTTTGAAGGTAATGTAGCTCTTCCTGGTGCATTTCAGCATTGTCTAAATCGAACATTGTGTCTAGAAATCTCAGGCATAATTTCTCATACTTAAATTTTCTGCTTGGAATCTTTGATGTAAAGCTACACAGATGGAGAGAGACCTTGCAAAATTCGGGCTTCTCTGCCAGAACAGAGCCTACAGTCAGTATCCAGAGGAGCACAAGACAAAACGACAGTTTTGTGATCCTTGTAGCTGTTTGTGCTGTTTTGTCTGGAACACAAAACGCTATTCTGCAGTGTTTGTCAGGTGCACATGGAGAACTGTGCAGCTTTTTGTACTTCTAGTAAATGAAAGTCTGCCCTTATTTATAAACAAGAACCTGATGATCTTTTTGAAGTTGCTTTTCAGATTGACTTGTAAATTTGCAAATAGGATAGTCATCACTGTGTCAAGATCCATTTGGCTGCTTTTTTTTTTCTTCAGACTGATAGATGCAGATATTTTGGGATAATGTGAGAGATCTTCCTATCCTAAAGACTGGCTCTTTTTCTTCAGCTAGAGGTCTTCTTGAGGACCTTTTTGTTTTCTTCAGCCATTCAGTCAAGGCATAGTGAAGAAATGCTAAAATAAAATTGAAGGTCCTAAGCTTCTCCCTTCTTCTTGGAGGAGAGCAAGTTGCATATGGAAGAAGAGGCCTTAAGATTTTTGCTTTTAGGTACTAAGTGTATAGAGTTGTACTAGAAAGTGGACATCATACCAGCCAAGAGTGTAGTTTTAYGGTACTGCAGATATCTTGTTGCAGGACAGATCTTTCTGCCCATGAAGGTGGCTGACTCTATGCTGTTCTTGCACATGGAAGATTGTGCTTGACATGGCTGTGTGATATTAAACGATAGTAATATTGTTGATAATTTAAGTTATATGTGCAGAAAATAACCTGTAAGGTTAAAATAGAGTGCAAGAGTGTTAATTGGCTAAAGCAAACCTCATGATTCAGCTCATACATATGATGCTCATMTACTCAGAAGGGAAAGAGAAGGATCTATGTGCAGATTCTGCAAATGTATAGAGAAGACATTTGCAATGATTTCCATCATCAAAATCAATAGCTTATTTACCTTTTGTCTGAGGTGCTGGCATTTACATTGAGCTTAGATTCCCAGTTGACAATGCTCAGAAAATGCATCCCCCAAAAAGAAAGGTTTATTTGTGTATTGATTTAAAAGAGTATCTTCCCTTTTGCTTGTGAGAGATGTTAGCTCAATTTGAAATGCATGCAAATAGTCAAAGTAAAGGAAAAATGTCTTCGTTTTTATARTCAAAATCAAATTAGCCTGTTGTTACCATTTTGGGTAAGTGACGATGGTATCATATGTTCTCATGCTTGAGAATGTATCCTTCTGGTAAACTAGCTTTGATGTAACAGCCACAAGTGCCATTTTAAATCCTCCTGTTTGTAAACTGATGAGTGACTTTTGCACTCTCACTTGAAAATGTTTCAAAGACAAGCTGAACATTCATTAGTCTGGAAATTTAAACAGGAACATTATTTATAGATKTAGTGCAAAAATAATGAGGAAATTTATTTTAATAAACTAGTGCCTGGTTTGATTTAGACTGCTTATGTGATATATTTATTTTTGAGTTATCAGATGTTTTCAGATATTATTTTATTTTGTAGACAATATACAGGAATGTGTTAGATGATGTGTATGAATATCCCATTCTTGAGAAGGAGCTGAAAGAATTTCAAAAGATACTTGGAATGCATCGTCGTCAGTAAGTATTGATTATAGCTGTGGTCAAGATTCTCTTTATTTTACAATGCTACTTATTCTTATCATCACTTTGATATAAKTCAGTAAAGAGTGAGAAATGAGCAATTAGGCTACTATATTCATTTTTACAAATCGTCTTTGAAGTAAAGCTAGATTATTCCATCTTCTCTGATGTTTGTGGAATATCACCTTGTTCCACAATCACTCTGGTCGATTTTAGTTAGGATGACTTGCAAGTTGAGCAGTATTTCTGTGAAAAAGCTAGCAAAATTTGACTCAGGCCTCACGGCCTCTCACTTGAAAYGGTACATGCGTTCTCTCTCTCCACATCTCTTTCTGTATAGTCTGCAGAGCTGTGAAGCAAATCTCTTTTTTGATAGATGTGTAGGGTTATCATTTTACTACTAATTTTGATACTTTAAAAACATATTTCCTTGGCATATTTTTGCAACAAACAGAGTTTTTGTGTGGTTTGTTCAATTGGGAATTGGAGCAGCAACACTGACCAAAACCTGTGCACCTTCCTGAAGCTCAAGCTGTTGCCAGTGCTCTGTGAGCTCACAAAGTGGTAGCATTTTGTTTGTTTTTCTCCATTGGTTATCCAACTGGCAGAAAACTTTTCTAGTTGATCCAGATCCTTAACTTCCCTTGAAGGAGCTCTGCTGTCATTCTCTGATGCCCATTTAATGGTATATTTTCCAGATGTTGCAAAATTTTAATATTTGAGACTTCTTTCTCCTAGTTTTTGAATGGAAAGAATAATTTGGAAAGAATAATTTGGAAAGAATAATTTGGATTTTTGCTTTTTGTTTCAGCACTGTGGATGAATATTCACCTCACCGAAAGGTAACACAGACCTAATTGTTATATTGAATGCTAGTTAGTTTATAATCTCACTTCCTTGTCCCTGCTTTCTCTTCCCTCCTTTTTTAGTTTCTCAATTAAAAGTGACTGGTGACCAAAAACATGACAGGATATATCAGAGTAGACTGGCAACACTGCTTAAGGAAATTTTTTCTGCCAGCTCAGTTTGGATATCAGTTACATGAACTAAGCTAAAGTGGCTGTGACAATATTAGCATTTTAACAACACACTCTGAGATGTCAGAATTCAGTAGGAGCCTAGGAGCATGTCCTTGTTTGGCTCAATAGATGTAGCAAACCTGGGTAAACCAATTCAAGCACAGACATGGACTGCAAACGTCAGATAGATAGAGGAAAGGGGGATTTCTTGTGACAGGGACAGAAAGCAAGAGAGAAATATGAATTTGTGTCTAACTACTGGGAAAAGATGCAAACGGAGGAAGGTGGATCGCTCTGATCACTGATTTAGTGGACCAACACCGAGATGTGTAATAAGCTTTAAAGTGTTACTGTGGGAAAGGAGAAAGCAGAACAGGAGATTGTCATGAAAGTGCTAAATAGGCCAGGCAATAGTTACTATTTAGGACCATGTGTACGAAATGGGCTAGGAATGTGATGATGGCGAACCCTGAAACGTGCAGGCTGCCTCGCTGAGGCATGTCTCACTTCCTCAAAAATCCCTACCTTTGCCTTTATTAATAAGGCAACTCCCAGTTGGAGTGGGTGGGTGGATTTCCTATTCAAAAACCTTTTGGACAGACTTACGTGCTGAGTGCTGTATGCTATGAATTATTGCTTTGCAAAGGGCAGGAATGCAGAGAGTCATTTTTGTTTCTATTTTCCTCCACTCCCTCACAGAATAAAACCTTTTTCCACCAATTCAGTCTGAAAGAGAACTGGTTGCAGCACAGAGGAACCATGAATGAAACAGAAGAAAGTAAGTATGATTTAAAGGGTGGAGGAGAAACTTAGTGCAATGCCTTTAAATGTAAGTGCAAAATTGTTTTTAAATAAGAACTGCCATTAAGGTACCTTTTTTTTTTAAACAGATGTAGTCTTTTGAACAGGAACCTATGGTCACAAAAGGATTTGCCTGTGCAGTACTACCTTTCTGCCCCCTATTTTGCAGGAGTTCAGCAATGAAATGATATCCCCAGGGCTTTTCTCCCCATCCCATTCCCACAGCTCCCGTAATAAAGCTGTGTGACTCACAGAAGTGCTGGCAGTCTATTCCACGGCCTTCCTTTTCCTGCTCTGTTTCATGGTCTCAGTCTCTTGACCTAGATCTTGCTTGTGAAAGGTGAATAAACCTGTCACATTAAATGGGTCAGGATCCACGAACTCTGTGAACCTGTGTGCATTCCTTCTCTCCTCAAAAACATTTCCACATGGGATGCAAGATGCCACTGCAGTTTAATGTCAACCATTTCAAAATACAATTTCTCTTCGCTGCTAGTAATGCAATAATAAAGCGAAGCTGTCAGCCTCCCRTAATGCCTTTGAGAGCTGCAAGAGAGAGGAGGCAGAGAGGAGAAAAATGTCATGTATGTAGGCAGAGAACAATCAGAAAGGCCTCCTACCTGGAAATCTTCCCTCTCTAACCCTATATCTTCATTTCTCACTGGGAATTTGACTCCAGAAGTCCAGTTCAGGACAGGATGTTATAAATGATCATTTCTGATAAAAATAACAACTGTATTCCTTTAATGCCAAGTCTCTGTGCACAGTATATATTGCTGATAGATACTATCTTTCCACATCTGAAATCCAGGTTTATTTGAGCTTTAGGTTCACAAGGCTGCTTCCAAAAACATCATTTCCAGATGAGAACACCCAACACTCATTTTTCTTTTTAAGAACTCAGAAACTGCTTATGGTGTAACAGGGAGAGAAGCGTATTGGCATAGGGAAGGAAGGGACAGGCGGCATGGCCATGGAGAAAGGCATGGGCCGAGTCCAGGGAGGCCAGTCCCAGTTGGTTTAAATTGAATGTGAGCCATGGAAGACTCTGGGCCTGAGGGAATGAACACTTGGAATTTGAGCAGGAAAGACGGCTGCTGGGCTGAGTGGGACACGCTGGTGCTGTGGCTCTTTGGAAGCTGGGAGACTTCAGGGCTCTCAGGGGCTATAGTGACTAACTAAACAGAGCCAGGACAGAGAGGTTGAGGCAATGACATATATTGCCCACACTGTCTAATTCTTCAGGCATTCCTCTGCCTGGTTTTGATCCACGCAAACTAGCTGCACATTGCCTGGGCACGGATGAGGGGAGCGTCTCGGGCTGTGGAGTGGTGCCAGCTGATGGTGGTTGTGAAGGAAGGAAGTTTATGCAAGCCATTTACCCATGTGGCTTGCCCCAAGGGCCAGGGTGCGGGATGTGGAACTTATAGAGAGGATCCCGTGGAGAGCAACAATGATGATTAAGGGACTGGAGCATCTCTCGTATGAGGAAAGACTGAGTTGGGCCTGTTTTCCCTGGAGAAGTGAAGGTTGAGAAGGGATCTTATCTACATGTACAAATACCTGAGGGGAGAATGTAGGGAGGAAGGGGCCAAACTCTTCTCAGTGGTGGCCAGTGATAGGACAAGGGGCAATGGATATAAGTTGAAACACAGGAAGTTCCTTTGAGGAACTACGTGTTCTCTCCTGTGCCTCACGGAGGATCGACACTGGCCCTGGGAAGGGATGTCGCAGCCCATGCCACTAGATACCACAGATACAACATTTACAAGGTGCGTGGGGGAACAGGCCTTTGGAAAGCAGAGTGATGATTTTTCTTGAGAATCTGACCTCCAAGTTGCTTTAGTTAAAAGTTAAACAAAAGATATGTCATTAGCCCAATTATAAAGTAGTATACCGCTGTCGTCTTCCTCTCCTGAATGACAGAGAGGAGATTTCTGGCAAATTCCCTGTAGGCAAGTTGTGTTGCATTGTGCATATGGAGGCCAAATACTCTTGTCAGGTTTTTATTTATTTATTTTATCCACCCAGTAATTTAGAGCACAATTTGATGTATTTATCTTTTTATGAGTTATAGTCATTCTAAAAGGAGATTCTTCCATGGGATGAGCATCTGATTTACTGTCTGTCAGCAGAGAAAGGTTAAGAAAAAACTACAAAATGACTTTTCTTTCCCAAGGTTAAACAACATTAAGTTCCTTCTTCCCCCATCTTCATTTTTCTTCACTAGAATACAAAATAGTTGTTCACTGAGGTTGAGTTCTTACCAATGCTTCTAGCATGGTATCATTTGATGAAAGTGCCTGAAGCTGTGAGGTTTGTAAGACAAACACAAAGCTATTGCTTTATACATCTGTCAATGAAAATCACAAAAAATGTTTCTGAGGGGAAAAGGATTGTCTTATACTATTATTGTAGCAGCCTATCTGCAATAAAAAGTACTAAATTAGAGGAAAATAGAAAGTTTAATTAAGTACTTAAGTGAGTATGAAATTGAGGATTGTGGTGCTGATGATAATTCTCATTAGCGGATGTTGTCATTTTTAAAAATATCGATGTCAGTCTGCTGCTCAGTTTCTTCTAAGTGTAGCAGCTGTATTTCAAATAATTGGCTACTGCAAACTCAGCAGAAGTTGCAAACACAAAGTTGTGGAAAGCAGTGGGAGCAAACACCACCTTTGTAGCTAAAGCAAAGTACTGAGCTGACTGCAGCATTACTGATGTGAAATGTTGCTCCAAGAGCTCTCAGAGCCTAACCAACTCATCGACTTCAAGGGAAATTATGAACCCAGGGAGTTTCTCCAAGCCAGTCCCTTTTATATGTGCTGCAGGGGATTCAGGAAAAGCTGTTTGAAGTAATTGTGCTGCTCTTTGGGCAGCCTCTGCTTGTACTAAAATACCCTGGCAGTGCATATAGTTCCGATGTCTAGACAGATAAGCTGGATGGAGTGGTTGCAGAAAGCTGTGGAGAGCTCTTCTGAGAAGTTGGTGGCAGTGGAAGTGCAAAATAATTTCTGCAGAGGGTATGCAGCATCCCGAAAAGCAATGATTTATCTGAACCTAAAAGGGACAAAAGATGACAACAGCTGAGTTTGCAGAGAAGTTAGAAGAGAAAGTTGATCTCTGAGAAATCCCTGCAGCAGGAGCTCTGCCGAGGTCTCGCTGAACCTTGGGGTCTCTGTTTGCCCCTGTTGTTTCCCAGGGAGAGGAGGTGGCAAGAGGGAGTAATGATCTTTGTGCACGGGGTATCACATCCCTGGAGGTCAGCTAGCAGCAGCAACCGCTCTTGCTGTCCAGTGTTAGTTGGGCAACCAAAGCATTGCTGTGGCTGGAAGTGTGAAAATCTACCTTCAATGAGTACAAGTTTCTGATCTTTGCTGAGCGTATCTTTCTTCCTTTGTGCAGTTTTCTGCCGTGTATATRTAACAGAGCACTCCTACGTCAGTGTGAAAGCTCAAGTATCCACTTCAGCTCAGGAGATACTGAAGATCGTAGCAGAAAAGATCCAGTACAGCGAGGAGGAGCTGGCGCTGGTTATCGTCACCTTCTCTGGTGGTAAGTAACTTTCCTTCATCTGATGGCTTCTCTTTTACTGTACCACGTAAGGGAGGGCTGACATTTTCTGGAGCAAGGATGCAGCTGTTCCTGTTCAGGCCCACAGCTGGATGGCCACGGGAACAATAAGGAGCTGCTTCCCAGAGAGTTGTTTCCATGGCAACAGCTAATTCCTGGGTACCATCGGATACAGCATTTCCTCACTGGAAAGGGAATGTAAAGGACTCTGTCTCCAGCATGCTACAAGATTTCTTCTCTCACAGATAAATCTTCCACTTTCACATTTAAATTAATTTGGAAGGTGATGAAGCATGGTTTGCTTTAAAAATAAAAAAGAGGACAGTGAGTACTATGTGTGTGGTTGTTCCTTATGCCTGGGTAATGAATATTCTCTAGTGGAAATGAAGGAAAGAAATATTTGCACAGTTGAGATGCTGAGAAAGTCTAAGCAGCATTTTGTTTAAATGAATCTGTCTTACAACTGGCATTTTTGCCTATTATTTTAGCATTTCTCATTTAACAGGAAAGGCTTATTATCTCTTTAAAGGAAGACCAAAACTGATCACAGGCAGATACTAATGACCCACCAACCTTCAAATATTTTGTTTGGTGTCTGTCAAGTCTTAAGATCCTTGGGAAGTTGTTTTGATGCTTGTGGCATCTTCTACTCCTAGTGAAGTTAAAACAAGGAATTTAACTAGGTACATAGAAATGAGAAGTTGAATCCACATTAAAGGGCTAAGACTTCCGACCAGTGGGACCGTATCCTTGGCTGATTTTAGCTGCCGTTGATCCTGCATCAAGGATGGACCCTTAAAGACAACACACTCATTCTTCTTTTTCAGTCTGATTAAGTGAAATATAGACAAGTGCTGGGTTGTTTTGTTTATTTATTTAATTCAGAAGTGGAAAATCTCCACTTCTTCTTCGTCTTCGCAGTGCCAAACTCAATTAGATAGCTCATTTTTTCTGCAGGGAGCTGGTGTGGGTGGCAAGGAAATGGCAGCCTGCCCTGGCAATCCCAAGCCCAGGCATGGAGCAGCCACATGGTAGCTTTTCTTGGCCAGCCTCTTGGCCAGCTCATCACATCATTTGCAAACATACTTGTCTCATCCTTGCCTATAACCAAACCTACCTGCAGTGCATTTTGCAGCTTTGGAGGAGCAGGAGCTGATGCTAGCCACCTGCTTAGCTAAAGAAAGCCAACAGTTCCTAAATAATGAAGCACACAGTTATCTCTAGACCATATTCATTATTGAGAAAGCCCTGGAATATAAATGGTTGCCACTTGGCTGTTCATTTAGAAACAAAATAATTAAAATGCAAACACAATAGGACTATCATTTGTGCATGACCATTTGTAATATCCAAAATGTTATTTGGTCACATTAAATTAATTAATTGGAGATCCTACAATTGTGGTATCCTTGATGTTAAGCATTGTTAGGCATGTGCCGTGTGCAATAGACGCTGACCCTGCATGTGTTTTCCTTTCCTTATTGCTTTGCTGTTCGCATGACTCAAAGGGTCTTCTGTCTTCCATCTGCAGGGCAGTAGTATGAATCTTAAAGATCTTATTTTTAATGTACTGCTTAAATGAACAAGAAGGCCGTTTTATTGAAAATTACTTTGAAAACACATGCTTCTAGTAAATGGAAGTATATCGGGTGCTGCTACCAGTATGAGCATGATTAAAGGAGAAAGGTAGAGAGTAATTGCAGTTTGTAATGACGTTTATCTCATAGTCTGCTGGTTCTGACCTCTCTCTCATGGACCTTGAAAAGTGCAAGACAGTTTTGTAGCACTTTTGGAAGCACAATTTTTCAGCTGTATTATGGGTTTTAAGTCATTATTTTTTCTCACAGCTTTCTCTGATGTATCCAAGATTGCCTACTGGTGATCATTGATTGACTAGTGGAAAAGAAAATCTTGCTCTCTGATACCTGATTGTTGTATTGTGCTCTTCTATCAGAGTATCAGATTACTAAAAAAAAAAAAATTGCACCAGGTCTGGATGAATTTCTCTAAATGCAATTGTACAATGACATTTCACCTCTTCCTCTGCTGCACAGAAGAAATTTCATCTACTTGGGATCCTTTAATTATCTCTTTCCGTTGACTGGCCATGGCTATTGGTGACATCTTCACTCCTGCTGCTCTCTGCCTGGGGAATACAACAGTTTGGTCTCTTGAAGGCTGAGACACTTTAATAAATGTCATTTCATTTATTGTAGATGCCTTGGGTTGAAATGAAATGGTTGGTAATACATAGGAGGTTAGACCAGATGATTTGAGAGTCTCCACTCTATCCTATATAAAGGCTAAGCTGAAAACAGATTCTGGAAGATATTTGTACTTCAGCCCAGTCATGGTGACAACTCACCTGATCCCATGCTCAGCATATCAATAGGGACTATGTATGATTCTTAATTTCATTTTAAAAAATTGATTGTTGTGATGCTTGTCTCATACATATACATGTAACGTATTACATTTCTGAAGCTTTTGCATTTGTTTTTCTATTTTTAAAGAAAAGCATGAACTACAACCAAATGACCTGGCTATCTCAAAATCTTTCGAGTCATCCAGTCGCATGTTTGTCTACCGAAAAGATCTGACTGATTCCTTGGTAAGACTGTATTATTTCTACTTTCCATTTTTGGTTTGTCTGGCTCCTGATCAAGGATTTAGTATACCTCTCAGAGGAATTTTTCAACACAGAATTTATCTTTAATTCCTTAATAAAACTTACTGAGCTGCCAATATGTGGAAAAAAATCTGTTAACTGCCGCTGTTCTGCTGAACAGTAGTGAAATTTGTTCATCAGTTTCAAAGAGGCCAAAGCTTGTATGTGGCTTAAATTTTTCAGTCATCTACATCGTGCAGAAAAGCTCACTTGTGCTTGTGCTAGACTGATGAAGGAATTACTTCAGGGACATGTGACTCTATTTCTTGTGCCTTTGTTACACTTAAAACATTGGTGGCTCATGTGTAATCATGGAAGAAAGTGTGTGAATGCCATGAAATTATTGCATGTAGAGATGGATCTCGTCACCCATGCAGTGCAAGGTCTGCCAACATAACCAAGTGTCAGGATAACCACAGAATATGTGGGAAATGCCTTGTCCCAGGAAACCCCTAGGGAGAAGCCAGGAGAGTATCCTGAGTGTCCCAAGGGTCATTCAGTCCTCTCCCTTCCCATCCACACAAGAGTGTTTATTGTCCTTGGGCACCAGCTGGGTAGAGGGAGTTGGCAATGCCAGTTCCCAAAACCTCAGTGAAGGAAGAATATGCAGGCCCTAAAATTTAGAACTAGCTTTTCAGTATTTTCCTGCAAATTATGCATATGTGCTCAAGTGCAGGGATGGACACCACTGCAGTTAGTTTCAGTGTGTTGTCACTGAGATCTGTGCATTCATCCTAGGAATGAGAAATGTCTATTTACATTTTAATGGACCCTTGTGTCTTTAAGAGCTGACGTGCCAATATCATTATGATTTATCATCCTCATTACTTGCAGCATTTTCTAAAATGCTAATATTAAGAAAAGATTTCCAGTGTAGACAGGTGACTGCCAATCTAATTTTATTAGTTAAATAGTAATTCCAAAACTTGAGGTAACTGTCAAAAAATGTAGCACCAAAGCAATGGCTTACCTGAACAGAATAATCTTTCATTTTGGCTGATTGTTCATGCCAGATTTCAGACTGATGAGATAAAAAACAAGAGAAGKACAAACCTCGGAAAAATCCTAGCTAATAATTGAAATGAAATGACCCATAGCACTAGCAGTACCTGTGATTCCGCACTGATATGCTTAGTAACTTCTGTGAATCAAGACCCATGATATTTGTTGGAATTTGCTTTCAAAGAAAGACAGTAATAGAATTAATGGTTTTATGCTATTTGTAAATGTATGTGGATTGTTGGCAAGTTGTGCGTATTTATTCAAAGTCTGGTGCATTTGCAGAATGCTTCTTCTATCTTTTAATACAAAAATGTTCTTTATAGTGATTCCAGGGGTTTTATTTTCATTATGCTGTCTATTTGGTTGGTATTTTATACTCAAGGTTTAGAGAGAGAAAGAGAGGGAGAAAGCTTAATCCAATGAAATTATTGATCCTATTTTCCTGTTTCAGGCTATTTATTAAATAGGCTACAATGCATTGATTTTGATTAGTGTGGGGAAAAAACCCTCAGAGTGCACTTAGAGAAGATTACTTACTCAGCCTTGCTTTGTACCTCAGTTTAGTAGCTATTTCATTCAAAGGCTTTTGGCATTTGATCAGGATTCTTTTGCTTTGGCTATTGATTTAGAATCCATTTGCTGAAAACGAGGAATTGCAGCAGAGACCTGTGAGAATTTTGGGAATCAACACCTGGGATCTTGCCTTGGAGTTAACRAACTTTGACTGGAGTCTCTTCAATGCAATTCATGAGGTAAGAAGTGCCAAGTCTGCCTCCAAGAACACCAGGCATGCAGCATTGYGTAATTTTTGCTTCCCGGCATTGCATCAGTATCTTGAAGAATCCGTATTATATGACCTTTGGTTCACTCTTATGATAGCACTTCAGATATTTTGCCATCTTTGATACTGAAAAGTTTGTCAAGGGTTTGTAAGTTTCCTGTGCTGGAGCACCTGAGAAGTTCCCTGTATACTTGGTGGGTTTTATTCAGATTTGCTTCTGAGTGTAAAAGAACAAGATTCTTTTCTAAAAATATCTGCATATATCTTTGTTGTATATAAAAACTGTCCTTTGCACTTGATAATATTCCAGTAAATGTAGGGCTGCACAAATGGATATAACTTTAACATAATTCACAATTTGAGCAAATTAGATGTTTATATTACTTTTTTGGTTAAGCTGCAATAACATAAAAGTACTGGGAGGCTTTATAAAATGGTGCAAGAGCCCCCTTCAGTGCCCACTGAGCTGTTTCAGTGTAGTCTTTAATAGGTTTTGGTGTGAGCCACTGCATAAAAGATCCGGTTAACATTGCAAGGATGAAGCACAAAATGTCATTTGAAATTATCAACTGAAAAGTATGACGAGCTTCTGGAAAGATGGACAGGAAATTCCCATGCCTCTCATCAGCTGCTTTCCATGGAGTTTTTATTCAAGTTTCACTTTAAAGCTAGAGCTGGCAAGATTTAAAGCTAAACCTGGCACAGAAATTAAGATCCACACCTCTGTTCTTGAAACCTTGGCTATTTTTAGAATTGAATTTAAATGGAAATTTTTCCATTTCTGGAATGCTCTGATATGGGCTATTTTTTGTACAGAAATGCTGAAAGATGTGATGTGATGAAATGCTGAAAAGAACAGATTGTTTATATCCTATATCTGGCTGAAACCAGAAGTGAAGGTGCAGGGATTCTCAACAGAAAAGCCTTCTTGCAGGACCTCCAGTCCACTTGMAAACTGCAATAAGCCTCTAGACTTTTTTAAGCCAAGCCTGGATCCTGAATCATTTGTGACTGGCTCACAGACAAATAAGAATTGCGATTTGTTACCAAATCTTAATTAAAATATATACTTCGAAATAATCTGTAATTCAATTACATTCAGATTAATTTTATATACCTAATCATTTTGTCTTCCAGCAAGAGCTGATATACTTCACCTTCAGCAGACAGGGCAGTGCTGAAAACACAGAGAATCTCAGTCTTCTGCTTCAAAGATGCAATGAAGTCCAGCTGTGGGTTGCCACCGAGATCCTCCTCTGCAGCCAGCTCTGCAAACGTGTACAGCTAGTGAAAAAGTTCATCAAGATTGCAGCTCAGTAAGTTAATGAGTTTGCAAAAAAAAAAATACTTGAATGCATATGTTATTTTCCGTCAAAAGGGAAGTAGCTGGAAGAATGAATAAAGGAAACTGATTATCATCCTGTATTTTCACAAATATAGTAAGCATGCCTAGATAAAGCAGCCCATAAATAGCAACAGCAAATACTGGCCAAAACTAGCTTGTGTTGGAGTATATGCTTTGCAGCTCTCCCTTAACAGCTTAGACAATCTGCAGCATCAAATGCAAAATCAAGGATTTTTGCAAAAGATCTCTACTTTCTCAGTGGAGATAATCCAAGGAACCGTATGACAAAACTATTTGAACTCTCAGTTATTTACCAAAGGTTACATGGAAACCACCAAAGTTTGTTTTAAACTTGGACCCCTTCCTGTAGTGAGGAAACTAGATGCAGTAGGCTATGGCCCTATATAGTCCTCTCTAGAGTCCACTTTAGTTTAGATATTTTATTCGCTGTATTAATTAGATTTTCAGCCTATTCTTAAACTAATATGAAAGAGTTATGGCATTTTTTCTATACCTTGAACCAGAATCATATGCTCTACACAGAGAATTTTTTTTCTCTGTAATCACTCTTATTTTGGTAACCAAAGGATTGAAGCAATTTAAATACATTCAACCATTCTCCTCACTTCTCTCTCTGTCTGTTCATATTCTGCAATATTTGAATATGCATGTTCATAGAAAATGTATAATTTGTTCCCCTTACTGACTAGGTTGATTTAATTTCTTTAAAGCAAGGCAGCTATATACAAAAGACTGTTCTCTGCTGAAGCAATGCTTTTGGTGAAATGAATTCTTCTAATCTAATCTAGTGTAATTCATAAATGTGATTTGATTTGATTTGCAAGTTGTGTGCAATGCAATAACACATKCTTTTTCAGAGTTATCAATGGTCAAGTTTGGTCCCATTATGTCAGAAATGGTTGGTTCTGTGTGGCTTCCTTGCACCACAGTAGCATTAATTTGCATTCCAGAAAAAGTTTTGTATCTGTCCTGCATGAATAGGGATATATTTGTCTCTAGAATAATAGGTTGCCTTGTCTAAGCTAATAACATCTCTGTTAACTGAATAGTCAAATTTGCAAAAACTAAATACAATTGCCAGTAAATGATACAGCATCTCTCTATACATTACAGTGGCACCCCTCATTTTTCGCATGTAGATGCTGAAATAGTAAATACCCGTATAGGCAGTATATAGCTTGCTCAAGGTTCTCTTTTAATCAGAAAAGACATTATCCATTCTGGAACAGCTAATGCAACACTTGGAGTGGATGGATAGGGTGCTAACCACAGGACTGTCATCACTGAGCACACCCTGGCAGCCCTCTGACTGCTCCCTCTTCTCTGCTMCTCGATTCAGCCAGGACTCTGCCTCTGACCTTGAGATTGTCCTCACAGGACCAGGTCTAAGGTCTTGTGTTTACTGTTTTTATGCTCCATAAAGTAGGAGTAACTGAAGAAGCTGGAAAACCTTCATAAACGTGTATCAATAYTTAAAGGAAAGGGAGGGTCTTTGAGGCAGATTCCTATGCTTTTGTTGAGTTTTTAATTTTTGTTCTTTCCCAAGCAGTAGCTGACTAATATACAAACCTAGACTACACAGGTAGTCCAAGTTCTCTCTCACAGAGATAGATGTGCCCCTCCAATAGGCAGCTTGTCCAGGCTAAAACCTCCTTCTTGTTTTGGAGCAAATTGCCTTTGGAAGGTGTTTGCTGGATGATGAAAGGAGTCTGAGCCACRAAGTTCACATTAAATTAAGATAACTGAAGCTAAGTATGCCATGTAAATAGTATACAGTGGTATGGGACACTAAGGTGAATGTAAAATATTGTAGCAATACTGGAGAGTTTCCAGTCTAACTCCTTAGCACAAGCTTTTCCCAGAAGATTACTCCCTGTGCAGCACACATATATCTTAAAAGGGACTTTTAAAAGGGGCTTTTAACACACACACACACACACACACACACGAATGTACACATTGGTGTTTATAGTGGTCTTTGATAATCTACATAAGCAGCTGAAATACTTTGAATAAGACTGTGTTTTGTGATTTCAAGTTTTTGAATGTGCTAGAAATAATCAAGGACTGATTATAGATAGTAAAATATCAAATAGAGGTATCAGGCAAATTCCATAGAGACCACTATTGGAACCAGTGCTAGCTATAACTAATTTACAGGGCTATGTAAATTGAACATTAATCAGATTTTCAGACAATAAAAATGATGAGGGATTGCAAATGCACTGGAGGGTAGAAAAATACAGAATGATCTAAGGAGTCTAGTGACATGTGCAAACAACAGTGGGATAAGATTTAATTTAGATAGATGCAAAGTAATTTCAGCTAGGGAATGCTGATAGTGAGCTGAAGAAATAAATACATTATTATAAAGAGCACTATTGTGACAAAGGTCATTGGGTGATAATAGATGACAAATTAAGGACATGGACAAAGTGTGATGGTGTTGCAAATAAATACATTTGATATTCGTTTTAAAGTTGCCCAGGAGAAAGGTCTAAGAATAGAGAGACAAAGCAGTAATTGTGTTTCTCACTCTCCCCACTGTCTCACTACATCTCCTTTAAGAAGGAAATGCATAGGAGAAAAGTTAAAATAAATTACAAATAATTCAACACAGAATAGTAAGAATATAGAAAAGTAGATAGGAGACCCATGACTACAAAGAGAAATTGAAGCAGTCAATGATGTACAATTTATAGAAAAAATGAAAGAGGAGATGAAAATATTTATAATACAACAGAACAGGGTCAAGGAATTATTCTATATGTCACTTGAACATTGAAAAAGGAAAATTACTTTTGACAGCAAAAGAAAAAAATAACCCGCCAACAACAAGGCTGATGAGGCAGTGGAACATTTGCTAAAAACTTCTTAGAGACCCCATCACCTAGACTGCAGGTGGGCAAGATGGCACATTTAATGAGTTCATTATGTGRAAGATGATTGCAGGTTGGTGCTGAGAGTCAAAATGGGACTCAGTAAGCTAGGATGCCTGTGCATTCCATTCATCTCTGGTTCTGAGGATAAGAAATCAGAATACTGCATTCATATKTTCATTTCACAGCTGTAAAGCCCAGAGGAATCTGAATTCATTCTTTGCCATTGTCATGGGCCTCAACACTGCATCTGTCAGCCGGCTGTCTCAAACCTGGGAGGTAAGATGCATCTTTGTATCTTTTAGACCTTGTCAAAACTGTTTCTCACWCAGGGTATATAGTAGCAAATTACCTTTTCTTTCTACATTTTGGCTTCCCATGGAAAGGGGAGTTCAGAAAATTTTATGTGACCTAAAACCTCAGATACATGACATGAAATAAAATATGTCCTGGTGGAAGGTTTAAATAAGAACAAGGCAAAGAGATCTGACCTTCTTAAAAATCAAGTACATAATCCTATCATTTTAAGYAGGTGTTAGAACAAAAGGTCTCATAATAGCAGTTCCAAATGAAGCTTACTTTGGTATGAAATAGCTTCACTAAAAATACAAAATAGGAAAATAAACCCTTATTAATTCGCCTTGATCAGCTCCTTACTAGCTGCTCATTTTAAGCAGTGAAGTTAGGAAATGGGCTGTGAATAAGGAGTGTATTGGAAAACAAAGCATAGAGATGAACTAAAGAGGCAAACGGTTGGTGGACAGAGTATAGGATATTATGAGAAGGGTCGTTGTGGGATCCACTGTTTTTCTTTTCCATCAAAGTAAATTATTGAATGTTTCCAAGTTCAACATATTTGCTGATAATCCCCAAATTAGAGCGGGAGTGATTTAGTGTAATATGGAGGGAAAAGCTTCCTTCAGCCCCTGGTACCCAGCACTACAAGCAGGCAGTACTAAGGAGATTTGACTTTGCAGCACAAAGTGACAAAGTGCTGCAGTCCGCATTTAAAGATATTCTTGAACACGAACAGCTGAAAATAAATGGCACCGGGAGCTGAAAACAAGTGGCCATCAGGGGCTTACAAAGGTGCTTAAAGACTGTCCAGACTCCCCTTAGCTGAAATCGTGCATGTGGAAATACCACAGTGTTGTCGGGAGCAGAGAGATAAGGGCACCAACTGCTTCTGTGGGAAGGAGCTTATAGAGGCACAGACATGCAAGGAGCAGCTATTGTCAAGTAAATCAAAACTCTTCAGAGGAAAAATACATCCTGGAGGTTAACTGTACAGAAACCAACATCTGTCCTGCCTCTGAAGTACCTTGTCCGCCTGGGACCATTGGCCTTTGCCTGCTCTTATGAATTGCCTCCATCCCTTCCCTTTGGGCCTTAGTGGAAGAAACCTGTTTCATTGGAGGTCCCTAGTATTTATTGCATGGATCTCTCCTGCCCAGAAATACCCAGAGCAACCAAGCATGGTGGGAGCTCTCCAAAGATCATGCTTTCCTGTTGAATTCCTCTCAGGAAGAACAGAATATATTATTKGTCCGAACAAGGAATGTGTCCACATACACACTGCCATAAATATGTCTAGCTTCTGTGTGTAAAGTGTTTATGAAGTCAAATTTGCATTTTTTGTTTTTTTTTTATTTGTAGAACTTTACTGTATTTGAAATTTCAAAATCRGAGTTATTTGCATTAGCAAAGTGACTTCTAGAAGGTAGAGCACTATGTAGAAATTAATTATAATTACTTACACATGTAAATGAAGTCACCAAAATTTAAAAAACCATTTAGGCACTAAACTGTGCACTTGAATTCTTAAGTGATTTGTATACACCCAAGCACAACTGCTTTCTTTTCCTGATTGGAAAAATTAAAAGGGGAAAATTGCAATTCCTATATGCCATTACTTTAGCATTTTAATTATACAGCACATCCTGAATTATACAGCACAATCTGAATCTCCTTTCTCTTGATGATTTTTTAGTGGGTGTGATCATCTAAGGACATAGGTGAGGCAAGCTTTGCAGTAAGAAGAAATATCTTTTACTAGACTAACTAGTATAATTAGAAAGAATAGACAAACTTTCAGGCCTATGTGCCTTTCTTAAGTCTGTAATACCGGCAGGAAAATTCTAAGTGAGGAGTGCTTTCTCTGAAGATACAGGGATGAAGCCCCMAAAACATCTGCAAGAGTAAAATGATGCCTGCAGGTGTTAGGATATTGGGGAAAGAGAAAGAAAGTGAGGTTGCATGGTCTTCTTTGGGAGGTGTTTTGTGCACCATCCTGTGGGATTAGAATGAAATCCTGCAGATACTGTGAATATTTTTTAAGGAAAGTTCTCTCTTCTCTAACATCCTTTGTGCCCTAGTCGGAGGAGGTGAATCAAGCAGAGCAATGGCAGCATTGTACCTCTTGATTTCTAAAACCAGCAGTTTAGGGAAGGAATGATTGCAAGAAATGATTTGACTGGAATATGTTTACAACATCTAAATCCTCAACCTGTGTTACTATTTCTGATGTAATAAAGACTGAAATAAATGTGGTAGACATGGACGTTAGGGAAGGAAATAAAACAACTGCTAACAGGCAGTTTTTGTAACGGGATGTGAGCCTGTGAGATCCCAGGAGGCAGCTACATAGTCAGATGTGCTGGCATTGCTGCACTGAACAGGGTCTCTAATGAGGACTTGGGGAACAGAGGTTAAGTCCCTGAGCAAGCGGCCTGGTGATACTGCCTATAGGCACGTTGCACATGACAGTCTCATGGGGGAATAAACCTTCAATATTTTCCTGTTGGTGCTTGTTTTTAGTCCTTTTTTTTTTTTCTTTTTTTCCACTTCAGAAAATTCCAGGGAAGTTCAAGAAACTTTTCAGTGAGCTGGAGAGTTTAACAGTAAGTACAGCATTGATAGCAGCAGAGAACAGCTTGCCTTCTTTTGACTTACCTTCTTTATGACTTATTTTGAAACTGCTCAGCATTGTCTCATACTGGGAGTTCTGCCTGTCAGATTAGTGGTCTCCTATAGGCCACAGAGCCCTCTGAGCTCAGAGGTGGTCTCCAAAAATGAAAAATAAAAGTAGTCTTTCTAACAGCTACAGGAAGACTAAGAGCAAAGCAAATCTATCGTCTGTTCCGCAGTGTCTGGTTGGATACAGTTCTGTTGCTGTGAGGGTTAATCTTTCTGTAGCCACAGAAATGTGCTGCAGATGAGGAGAAAATGAGGACAGCTGAAGGTTAAAAAAATCAAACTCAGAGGCTAGGGGTCTTTGTCACAATTATCAAAGCTGAATAAACAAGTGTTTCCTGTGGCTGTCATGGAACCRTACATGTGGTGAGATCACTGTCTCTTGTGAGGGACATAAAAATCCATTCTTTAACAGTTGTCAGGCTTTTGCACTGATAAATTAGCATGTTTCCATTCATAATTTAGCATGTTTTCCAGACTGTGCGTGAGCTCGTGTACAAAAACATGTTTATAAAGCAAAATGAGATTAGTTTTTGAATTACTTGCACAACACCACTGAGCAATACCCCCTAATTTTATTTTGAAAATGTCTAATATATGGTATCTTGATTTAAGAGCTTTTTAAAGAAATTCRTTGACAGGACATTTTGGGATGCAGTTGGTACTAGCAAGTAAGCTGAAGAGATTTTCCTACCAGAAATTGTGTGGGAAAATTTCAGAGCACTTAAAGAACGAATCCTCCCGCAGCTTACTCCAATTTTAGAACCGTTTCGCCCAGAGGAACGTAATAACTTTTGTTTCTTCCATTGTTTACGTTTCCTGTTCAGTTCAGTAAGTCACCTAGCTTGCAAAACTGCTATCTACCTCATTTCCCGAGGAAACCTTTTATATCTAAATCATGTTCAGATCATAAGCCCATAATGGATTTAGAATTGCTCCTTTTATAGCCTATTGATTTTTCTCTCTCTTACCCAAATGGTTTTGTAGGACCCTTCTCTGAATCACAAAGCCTACAGAGATGCATTCAAGAAAATGAAATCTCCGAAAATTCCTTTCATGCCCTTACTTCTGAAAGGTAATGTTAATGTTTTTCTGCTCTTTTTTTGCCATGCAACTACACATACAGAAAGTTGCAATAGTTAGTTATGATAAGTATAAAATGTTTTTTTCCTTCAAGTGGCCTTATGATAAGTGTGCTGCAGATGTTATGATCTGTGTAGGACAGCACTTGCTGTAGAAAATAATAAACAGCTGTCTTTTGAAACTGGGGAAGATGACATTTTTCATTCAGATTTTTAAACTTTACTACTTTTCCTGATACATAAGGATAGTGCAGTATGACTTTTGCTTTGATTACATGCTTTTCGGACTAGAAGAGCCTGTCCCTGACAGCTCACAAATCCCTGAGCAGAGCCATCTGGTTGTGCTTGCTACATGCAAACAAACAGCTTCGGGACTGCTGCTAGGTTCTGAGATGCTTGCCCTGCCTTAAAGGAGTAAAATTAACAGGTACTCTAATGAAAACAGAATTTACCCCAACTGTGTGTTCTGAGTGAAGGGAATTTTCACGACCTTCTCTTAAAAGTCTGAAAAATAATAAAACTACTGGCTTAACATAGTGAATTAGGCAGATAATTAAGAGGCAGGTATTTCGAAGATCTCATTATCTTGGATTCATTAATTATCAATAGTCTTGTCTTTGAACCAGATAATATGATATGATAATATGATATTCCTTTCTTCCAAAAGTATTCTCTTCAGGCTGTTTAGTCTAACTTGTTACTGCTGCAAGTTTAAAATGTTTGAAGAACTAGTTCTCCAATAAGTCAGTGACAGTTTAGGAGCCATAAGGCACTTCCCCTCTTTACTCACATCAAAAGAGCTTGCATTAAGAAGTCAGATAGATGTAATGATCAAGGCTTCAAAATGACCGTTCTTAGGTGTTCTGGAGTATCTCCTGTCTGCAAACAAAGAGAGGAGATATATATAACTTGTTAGCTATGATGTTTGCACAGCAGTGCAGTATTGTGTATAGGAACATGCACATAAGCAGTATTCATTCAGCATGACCTCATGTCTCTGAAATGTATTGGAGAGAATGAGGAGGCTTTGCAAAAAAAGAGTAATCCTGTTCATTACTGAATGATCCATAAGGAGGCATTGCCAAGGCTGGTAATTCCCATTATATTGAACATCACTTACAGAGTGTTGACTCTATTCTGTGTCTGATGTATTTTAACTAATGTTATTTAGAAGACCAGTAAAATAAACATTAATAACATAGAAGTCATTCGTAACTCAACATTTGACTGTATTTCAACACAAGAGGAACAAAAGGAGTTTCCAGGAAAAAAACTACCTGYAAAAACCTTTTTCTAATTGTAAAAAATATCTTCAGAGTGTCCTTTTAAAGTTTATTTAACCTGAATGAAGAGCTTTGTTCAGTACAGACACAACTTTTAAAAATCAGACAGATTTTTCAAATATTTGATAATACACAGTGTTGTCCCCTTACAACGTAGCTCAGATGCAATTTTCTGCTCCACTGAACTTATCTAAACTCTTGGCTGTTGGCTGCAAAGCGAATTTCTGTCCTTTTTACCCTCAGAGATATGCATGGTAGTCATGGACCTAACTGCCTGGAAATTTCTGKTTTTGGTCGAAGTTCTTCATTAGAAGTGACAGAGTTTTTTAAACCGTGTTAATATTTTCCCATGGGTGCATGTGAGCGTTTGCACATACACTCACCAGTGTTCATGCATGCACACACAGCCATGAGAAACAAGCTCAGCCTGTCACTCACCTCCTGAAGCTTTGTCCTTTCTCCAGCCTTGCGAGGTGCCCCAGAGCAGGGAAGGGAAAAGGTCAGGCCAGTCCTGCTCCCTGATTTGGCCTTGGGTCTCAAGAGGACACCCATGGGCAGGGAGGTGTTGCAGATATCCCAGCGAGGATGGACCTATCGATTGCCAGCCCTGAGGTCCCACCAGCCTGTTAAGCCATTTGGAGCAATTACAAATTGCCCTTCAGGCACAGAGTGAATCTGTGAAACCACAGGGAAATAAATGGGCTTGGCTGGTTTTGCCTGCTCTGCAGGGAAGGGAGGCAGTGGCAAGTGAGCCCCTGGCATCGGTTGCAGGTTCCCAGGCCAAAAATCCCCAGGAACAAGTGCTCTTCATAGCCTCACTKCAGGTGACAGGGATAGGTTTCTCAGATGTCGTAGTGATGACTCTGGGACAAGTGCTGAGATAGGAGGTAGGYGGCTGTGTCTCAAGGTAGTATCTCAGCCAAGAGAGAGTCACTGCCTGGTTTGCTGAGTGCCAGTTGCAGATTCTCTCCGATAGTGCTGGGCATTCTGGCTCCTTCGGGCTCCCCTAGCCCTAGTGCTTATTCCAAGGCTAAGCTTCGAACTTCAGAATATGGCTTTTATTTTATCTGCTTGCCTGGCCGCTGTCATAGCCCAAGTCTTGGATGTTGGAGGGTGTTCAGAGAAGCTGTGTTCAGCAGACAGCTAGTGTAAAGGGGTTTCAGAGACAACTGAGCATCGGGCAATTCTGCACAGGAGTAGCTCTGGGCTAGTGAAGCCAACAGGACCAGTCTCAGGAAGTATCTTCTCCATAGCCAGGTCCCAAGAGGCAGAGAGATGAGAAGCTGTGCAAAAGCCCATCTTGTTATTAATGTTTAATTCATATTAGAGCAACAAACTCATAAAAATAATTATTTTCCTTTATTTTTTAGATGTTACATTCATCCATGAAGGAAATAAAACTTTTCTGGATAACCTTGTTAACTTCGAAAAGCTGGTATGTTTATTTTTTCTTTCAACTTTTTTTGAGAAATCTATGCTGTCTTCTTCCCTTTCTACTCCTTATCCTAGAGGACTAAAAAGTTTTCTTTAGGCTGAATCAGGAAGAAGARAACAGAAATAAACTCTGCTTCAAATAGCAAACAGGATAAACAGATAAGAATTTAATTCTTCCCCACCCCTTCCTCTGCCCCTGCTTATTCCTTCTCCCCCTATTTCTATGCAAAATGATTACATGATGGTAGCCAACATCAGTTTGTCGCCCTCCATTCAGTTTTGTCCTGGTTTAAAAGCTACCACTGGTATACTTATCGCAGAGATAGTACATGAAAATAAAATTTATGATCTGAGATGATAAAAAAAATAATTCCTGAACTGTGAATTAAACTGACTATAAATATCACTATACTAACCTTTAGGTAGGGAGCACTTACTGACATTGTATCTTTGGCAATATCTGCTGTAGACATGGTTAACATTATGTGACCTCTACTCTGACATGGTGTTACTAAGAGAAGTTCGTTCTTCTTTAAATTTGCATTATTTATTTTTTATTAACAGTTTTGTAGTATTTAGATATTACATAATATACAGATGTATACTATGTATTCATCTAAGCAGTTTTGGGGTGGAGAAAATGTGATTTTGTTGATTTGGCTTATGTGTTCAATAAACCGTAATGTTCTCCTGATTGTTGAAGATGTGTTGTGGGATTGTTAGTCCAGATAAGTTCTTATAAGTTGTTTCTGACTGTTTTCTCCATATGTCTAATCTGATTCCACAATCAACATTAAAACATGGAGTTTTTCATGGCTCTACTATTGAACTTCAATTTCATGTCCTCTCACAATGCATATTCTCTTTCAACTTATAAGCAGATGTAGACTTTGACTTTTGAACCATTGAGATTCTCTTTTAGTATTTTCCTGTAGATTTCTATGTGTTTTCTTGTTGTACAAGATCAGTGATTTACATTTAATGAAAGGATTTTTCTGTCCAAAGTCTGTTAACTCTTTCACCTTTAGTGTCTACATAGAATTCATTAGCTCACTCTTCTTCATTGCCTCCTGGAGGTACATCTAATTAATGTGTAAATTAGCTAGCCTTTGATGCATGGTAATTGTTACTGAAGTTTCCCCACTGGCCCATATATTAATTTGGTGAATATGTGGGGTCTGATTTGTGTTCCAGTTTTAGCCAGACTTTGTGAGTGTGTTCATTGTTCAATCATGAGTGTGCTTAAAGCATTCTAGGCTTACTTGGTAAGATTTCCTGTCTATTCTGTCAGCTTTGTGTCTCCAAAGGCAGTGGGAGCTTTGCTAAAYGACTTCAATGAGCCAGCATTTCACCCTTTCCCCATTTAGGTAATGGGTAGTTAAAATGGGGGAGAGCATCTGACATGATGGTGATGGGGTGAGGGTTGTTCAGACTGACTGTTTCTCCAAATTATTATTTAGATCACAATCTCCAGGTAGCTTTCTGGAGCCCTATGTATGTGAATTCAAGTGACCATGACAATCAGTGGAAGGCTTAGAAGAGATTTAAATGTAAGAGTATAGAACTATTATTTTACTGGTTGATGTGTGTGATAAGGCATTTAGTCTATGATCATGGACTTGATAACAAGAATCATCACACATTGCCCATTCATATATCAGATCATGTGGCTTTTCTAACTCTAAGGGCTTTGCCCCAAGGAAGTGGTTCTTTGGTATTTATACAGTGCTGAGCGCTTTCTGATCTCTGTTTGGAAAAATTAGGATTGACACTAAATCCTGCTTGCTTTGGATCAAGCTACTGAACCTCACCTGCAAATTTGCTGTTGAGTAAAAAGAAAAAAAGAATTACCTTACTGTAGCACTACTGTTGTGAGGAAGCACCTYATTCACTGTCATAAATGCAAAGTTTCTACTTGTGAATTTCGAAGCAAAGAAGCAAAGATGTTTTCTTATGTCTCCATTTGGATCAGTAGTATGAAATATTTCATTCCTTGATGAAGTACCAGACTTGAAGGAGCTGTCAGCTTGAGCCACTGTTCTTTCCAACTCTATCAATCAGTTTACTAAAGGATATTATCTCTTCTACAATTGCTCTTTCTTTTATAATCTTAAACCATTGTGGCCACAGGAATCTTGCCCTAACTGAACTTGGTTCAACATGATGTGATAGTAGTGAAGCCAAAGTTAATTCAAAATACAAAGAAGGGAATGTACAGAGAAAGGAAAAAAATCCATTTTCTGAAAAATATTACCTAGGTTTAGCAAAAAGATTTTACAGAGTAGTCTCTCCATCAGTAAGAATTGTACATGCAGCTGAAGATTTTCAGAACACCTCCAAAATATCTGTGTAACTCCCAAACTTGATTTTGTTATCATTAGTTAAAGGAGTGCTAATGTTTCTAGGTAGCTGTTTGGCTGAAAAGCCACAAGAAATGTCCCTTTTTATTCATCACGCTAATGTTATGCAAGCATCTGTTAGAAAGTCAGGAAATAGCATTTGCTTTGCAGATAAATTAGCTGATTTTCTGTATTACTGTTGGGTGAGAGAGAGCTGGAGAGCAGCAAAGTGAAGTGCCTAATTAGGCTGCTAAAGAAGGGAGATTTGGGATTCAGCTCTAAGAGAATTTTGCACAAAGAAAGTCTTCATCCTCCAGCATCAGCTTCAAAAGCCAATGTTGGATGCATGGCCCCCGCACTGAGCAACAAAGGAGAAAGAGCAAAGAATGGCCCTGTGTGTCATTAGTGGGGTATCTCTTACTTCTAAAAGCAAAATTTGAAACAAGGATTTCATCTGGAAGGCATCCCAACAGCAGCAGCACTGGTAGAAGCTGTAGCTCTCCCAGTGCTCACACCATTTACCATGAAATCTAGGACATCTCATTAGAACTTTGTTTAATTAGTGCAARAGAGAGACATCAGCACAAGAGACTGCGTGATTTCATGGCAAATGAACCACAGCAACTAACAAGAAAAATGATTTTGTGTCACTAGTGTGTGAAAGGAACACAAAGTCCTCATTAAACTTGTGCTTTTTTTTTGTGTGTGATAAATTTTTCTGTGGACGAACCACTCTGGATGTTGATGGATGAGCTGTTTTACATTATTCACATCTTAAACATACTCTGCTCAAAACAACTAATCTTTTCCACCTCTGATTATTTTTGAGGGAGCTACGAGGAAGAACTTCAGCTGTTCCCATAAGCTCTTGTAACATTGCTACTCACTGCAGTTTAAAGCCTCTTCTTCACTGGTTGGAAAGGCCAGTAAAACAAACAAAAATTTAGMAAATATTGGCTCGTGTTCTCATTTTGTTCCTAAATGTAACTTGCTGTTAAAATGAACCTGGGCTGAATTTTATTCTGTTTCCTTCAGGCAGGTAGCTCATGGGTGTAGCAGGTAGCAAATGTCTTACTGTACTTGCACGTGCATTTGTCCACATGATACAATATTCAGTGAAGTTTAATGTATCATATAAAGATTAATTCATTGTCAAAATCATTCTGAACAGGGAAAGAGAATAGTATCTTTCTGTTAGTACCACCTTTTCCTAAAACAGTATACCCATAGCGTGGCCTTCTTTTGTATATGTCTGCAGAGATGTCGGAGCACTCTACAGCATTTAGCCTGTGGGCTGTTTTTTTTTGTGTATTGGCATCACACTGCTGAAAAGACCTGATTGATACTGGGCCCTAACTTTGCAAGGCACCATACAAGTGTATGTATAGGTGTAACCTGTGCCACAAAGAGCTTGCACTGTAGTTAGACAAGGCAGGGGGATGGAAGGAGACATTGTAAAATATCCAACACCCAGGATAAGGCATTAAAGCCAAGAGATGAATCCAGAAGCACTAAGTCAACTAGCTGCTTTTTTTTTTTCTGAAAGACTTCCCTACTGTAGGTTTTCTGTTTAATAAAAATCACAGGAACAAAATTAAGGAACTATATAACTGCTTTCCATGGACTCCTACAGGGTTCTCATTTAACCTATGTAATGTCAACAAGAGCCTTCTGTACTAACCCAGTTTCATTAAATGATATCACTAAGCCTAAGAGCAAAATGGCCTTTTGGTCCATATCCCACTATCTTCATCTTTTACCTCATTGCAGGGTTTTGTTGCAATACAGTATAAACCAAAGAAAGATTCTTTTTTAATGGTTTTTTAATTACAGAATCCATCTGAGATTTTGCACTGACATTCTGTGTTTTATCTTTCCAGCACATGATTGCAGATACTGTTCGATCATTGAGACATTGCAGAAATAACCAGTTTGGTGAGTAGTCAGAATTTGCTACTTTTCTGTCTTTCTCCAGCCCTGACTTTTTGTCTTTTGTTTCTATTTCTTAGTTTTACTTCATCAGTAAAACACAGCTGCTAATTATTTAATTAGCAAGCAAAGGCAGGGAGTCATTGGTGGAAGGTCAAAATAGCAGTTCCATCCAACTACAGTTGGCTGAAACTGAAGTTTTGCTTTACAGAACATTCATAGAAGCAGTTTCCATATTTTTCATAAAATTTTCATTAAAAAATTATCATAATGTTGGATAAGGTCAGTGCCAACTATAGTTAAATGTAGTTTCTTACTTTCCCAGTTACAGCTGAGTTACCTTAGTCTCTTCTGCAAGTCCAGGAGTTACGATAATAGATTCAAAACTGTCATACCGCCCCATAACWGAGAGAGGATATTAATCACTATGGCTTTTCTCTGAATTCTTTGAAGACCAGGCAGATATTTATGTATTGTTTGCTTTGTTTCATTTGCTAAGGACATTTCACAAAACAGCAGAAGTCTGTGAGATACTAGGATCGTATGAGCTAAGGATTCTATGTGACTGTTTTAGACACTAGAGACTCTATGCAGATATGTGCTTTTGTGMCTTTTTTACCCCTTGCTCTTGATGCAGGAAATGCTTTCTTTGGTGTTTCTGCTTTACTAGACACCAGAGAATCCAACCCTTAGGAAATGTGCCAAAAGACTCCAGCGTTCTTTGTTCTGCTGCTCACAGAGGAGAAATCTTATTTTTCTCCTCCTCTGCATGACCTGTGCTGTAAAGAGGTTAAACACAGGAAGGGGACAAGCACAGCACTGCTTTAGAAAGTAGTTAGAGGTTGTAAGCCAAGCACCCTAGCCATGTCAGTTACTTAGGTCAATAAAATCCCTTTTCTGAAAAGAACTTCAGAACTGTGTTGTAGCCTTAATGCAGAATTTTCATGGATTAAAAAAAAAAAAAGAAAAGAAAAGAAAAGAAAAGAAAAGAAGAAGCTGAGGGGTTTTTTTTGTTGTTGTTGGTGGTTTTTTTTTTTTTTCTGGTCCAGCTAAATTTTCAATAACTGACATCTTGGTCTTTCATAAAAGAATAATAATAACTTTGTGTGCAAATGCATAGGTATTTGCACACCTTGGAGAACAGTAGGTGTTGTTAGTAGTTTTACTGAATGTTTGTTCTGCATAGGATTGTCTTCTATACTTATCATCTTTCTTTATAGCAGAGCATATTATTATGATTCTTTTGTTATTTATATAGAGAAAAGAGTATACACACAGACTTATGCACTATATATATGTATATGTATGTGTGTGTGTGCACACACATATATATATATGCAAGTCCTCTGTTAAACCTGATACTGAATGAAATATTAGTTAAACCTGATACTGAATGAAATATTAATTAATCCAAACCATATCTTTGTAAGCTTGAATTTCTCTCTTATTTGGCATTTTGAAATGGCATTCTTGTTTCCTTTAAATGGTATGAATTTTTACTGCTTATTTGCAAAGAAAAAAAAAAAGAGCTTTCAATTCATCTTTGCCTTTTTTTTTTAAGTAGTTTTGTAAGTGTTGCAACATAAATCCAAGGTTAATACCTTAGATTTATCATATAATCTGGTAGTCTGAAATAGGTGATTGTTATTTTATCTTACTGCAGACTTGATTTATTGTGAAGCTGGCATTTAAAAAGCAGCTTATACAGATATCCCTGTAGGCAGTATTTTTTGCTAAATTTGTTTAGGCATGAAATGAATTCACTGAATATTTATTGAGACTTTATGAACAGCTTCCTTTTCTAGTGKGCTTATTTTGCTATCGCGAATGTGAATCTTTCTACTGCATCAACTCCCAGATTGGCCTAAGAGCAGCAGGCATCTTAACTGTAGGAAAGAATTCAAACAAAACCAAGCAAAGTATATTATTATTGTTTATGAACTATATCATGTGTATTAAGTAAGCAGGGAAAAGCCTTTCTGGATTAGAAGCTGATTAGGTTGGCAAGTGAGGCTGAAATGCCTTTTTAATGGAAGTAATACTTTAATATATTAAATCCTGAATACAAATAATAGCATTTCCAAAATCAGGCAAAGCATCCTGAACAAATAACATAATTGAAGCTTTTGTAATTTCAGGTTTTAGTGAGAATGTAAATAGCTCTCAGCAGGCTCAGTAAAGTTGCCCTGAACTTGCTCCCTAMCAATTCCGACATTCTGACACATAGTTATCACATTATCTGATTCTCTGCCACATACCTGAGGTCAGACAAGTGCTTAGAAATAGCCCCCAGGAATAGCTGCCCGGGAGCACCCTTAGCAGTGGTGCAAAAATTGGGCATTATTGGCACCCTGGATAACTTGCACCGCATCAAATAGGACTCTTTACAAAGTAGGGTGGTCAGGTCCTGAAAGACTTCTCCCTTAGCTGCAGTATGTGGAAAAATGGATGATAATGATACAAAAGAGAGGGAGGGAGCATGCAGCTAAGCTCATTGGTTTGGGGTTTTGGAGTGTTCTTTTTTTTTTTTCTTTTTAATTTATGGTAATGGTATTAAGAATTCCTTGAGGACACAGACTAAAATGGAGCTCTCCAACTGCGGATATCCTGCCAGCAGTGTGACAGTGTAGGTTTCTGCAGGCAACGTATCTCTGTGTCTCCCCTGCCAGCCACGTTGGATCTCAGTAGCAACGGGCTTAGCTCTTCCACCTCTGTTACTGTGGGTGGCCAGCARTGCTGGGAGGTTTCATAGGCAGTGAGTTCCCACCAGTCGGAGTTGGGCCTGAAGATGGTGGCAGATCACAGCTGCTGCTGCAGCCGCCCTTTGGTTTGTCTGCTCCATAGCTAATTCCTCCTGCCACGTACATTCCCACGACATAGCAGCCTAACTGTCATCTCTACTGCTAGATCAGAAATCAAAAGCATGACAGATCAAAGCCCAGGGGCCTGTCAGAAGAGCTTTGAAGAGCTTTAGTATCCATCTGCTCTGCTGTCACCTTTCCCCTTCTCCCAGGGAAGTGATTCAGGGTCCTGCTGTCTTGTATATTTGTGTTGAGATTGTTTAAAAGTTATGGGCCTGCTCAAGGTCCCTGTGCTGCCAGAGCAGCACAAAGGAAACGTTGAACCATTCTTACAAGGGACAAATTGTCCCAGCTTCTGTCAGGAGGAAGCCATCCGTGTGGGCCCTGGCAGCCCTCTTGCCATCCCCTCAGAGCAGCATCGCCTCTTCCTTGCTTTATTCTCGCTTTTTTCTACTTTTGTCTGATACCTCAGGTGTTATAGTTAAATAGCAAATCCTTTTGGTCACTGTCACTCTGTTTTTGTGGATGTGTGACACCAGACACATTGGCACACCCAGGGCTTGGAGATGYGATGCCAGGGCACAGAGCTGCACAGCTGGCTCATTTCCTGTCTCCTCTCTTGTAGGCAATGAAGTTCCTTCAAAAGAGCATCATGAGCTGAAGCCATACGTCCATCACCTGCATGTCATCGACAACCAGCAAGCTCTGTTTGAGCTCTCCCACCGGATAGAGCCGCGAGTGTGAGCGTACGCAGCTTCATATAATCTTGTAACTGCAGCACTTTGAATCCAGTGAATGTTTATGCCAAGCATGTTGCTTCCCTGTATATGGAGAGTTTACTGAGTTTTATCAGTAGCTCACATGGCACAGAGGAAAACGGATCAGAGCAAGAAAAGGAGCTGTTCACRACACTGCAGGGTGAGCCTGGTGCCATCTCCACTTGTCACCACAGCAGGAGGGAGCAGAGCAGCTGCCTTTGAGCTCGGGAGCTTAGCCTCTGTGAAAATATTGTTTGGTCCAGTGTAGCTTTCAGTGCAGATTCTGGCAGTGTTAGAGCAAAAGGAAGCATCATGTCGCTACCGCAAAACATTTCAGCAAGCAACATGTCATGAAGGGATTTGTAGTTCACCACAGCACGTACCTCGCTAATTCAAGGCTGCCAGAGTTTTATTGCCAAAAACACTGTACAATCCGTGCAGCTTTCCTGAGTCCAACAGAGCGTCTTATTTGAGAAAAGAGTGGACAGCTACGACTGGGAATTTAAAAGGCGGTGCGCCATGTAAGACTCACTAATGTGTCATAATTTGGAGGGCAGAAGCGAACAGTTCATGCTGTTATGGTCCCTTAAGAGTCTGCTTTATAAAACACACTATCAGAGCTAATCTACTTTTGTTGCAGTTTATGGACAGAATTGWTTGTACACTAAAACTCTTTATTTTCTCCCTTTTCTCAGTACTAGCTCCCRCAATTTCCATGCTGTAAATCATTATAGCAGGAGCTGTTTTSGCCTCTCCCTTGTCTATTCAGGGGYGAAGCCTATATCCCTATGTACCTAATAACATCTTGGAAGTACTCTGTTTTAACTTGCACACACTTCTAGTTCTCAGAGAACAAGTGAGTGCATCTTACAAGCTACCCATGTAATTACCCACCTACACACCAGGCTCTCAGCATTACAGTCCCTTTAGTACCACTGTCTCTCTCCCACACCCTTTCCCTAGCTAGTTTTGATGAAGCTAGAAGTAGTACTTACGGGCATGTTCTGAGAGAGCATTTCTGAAGTTGAACCTTGGATACTCACCTCTAAGCACCCTGTCATCTTAGCTGTGGTCTTCAGCGCTAGGGAGTTTACCCTGAAATATAGATTATTTTCAGATACAGTTACACCAGTAATAGTCACAAGTATTTCTAGATATTGCCACAGGCAGCGTGCAGCGTGCTCCTCTGCTCTGTGCACCAACATACAGAAATAGTCCCCTTGTAGAGCAGGGAGGATGCGATGCCTCCCTTACCTGTGTCTGTTGTATATTTTCCACATCAGGAAGAATTCCAAGAAAATGCTCCCTTACTGAAATGTGGGCCCCCGGAAGTAGCATGCTCTTTCATCGTTGTGTGAACTCTGGTGTAGGGGGATTTAAGAAAAGCAGCTTTAACAAATAGTCTGTTGGGAAATCTGTAGGATGCATTCAGTTTTCCCATCTGTGAAATATTGTATAGAACTATTGTAAAGGAAACAATTGTTTCAGAAATGTATTTGCTTGTACTTTGTTATTATCAAATACTATATGTTTCTTTTCTTTTTTTTTTTTTTTAGAAAAAAAAAATCTTCTTTTTACCCAGTAAAAAGAAAAACAAATAAACTCTTGCTGGCCATGGAGTAAAAATTTCCTATGTTCTTCTGTAGATGTGACTGCACATATTGTAAATAACTCCTTTTGTGCAAACAGACCAAAACTGTTCAGATCAGGATACTAGCTGGAGTGGGCTGCCTTTCGCAGTGTGAGAACACAACCCACAAACAGTGCTTGTTTCTTGTTTTGCTGCCGTGCTTCCTCTGGCTACAGCGCTCTCCAAATCCACCCTGCATTGCCGGGGCTRTTTGCTGGTTCTTGAGCTCCCCCTTGTGAAATTCTGTTTTTTTGCGGCACAACTTCTGGGAGCCTGAATGTAAACCTGATTGTGTGCTTTGGTTCATATGGAATAACTTTATTCCACAGATTGTTCTGTTGAAATCTGTGGAGATAAGACCATAGGAAGGTTTCCAGTGTGAGAAAGTGGGCTTGACTCAGTGCACTCAAGGGTTCCCTGCACTCTTGGTTCTGCAGTAGTTTTGSTAGTTAGGGCTAGTGCAACAGCCAGAAAGAAAAAATAAAATAAAGAAATGAATTAAGAGAGGAGGGGCAAAAAAGAAGAAAAGGAAAAAGACTCGATGCTCAAGCTTTGGTTTGAAAGTCTGCTAAAGCCAGCTTGAAGGCACCTCACTCTGCCAGTTCTGAAGTACGTTGATGGGCCAGTTGTGTTCCAGCAGGCTTCAAGCCAGAGCAGGTATCAGCTCTCTGCACCACTGTAACTAATACTAACCCAGGTATTGTCTACTCATTGCAACTCATGTAAAGTCTGTTTGAAAGCACAAAGCCAACCTTAACTCTGCACTCGGTGTCCTGGCTGATTGGACTRTTTTTCAAAGCATTACAAACCAGTTTTCATAGTGGCCTTTGCTGTTTAGATAAAACTTTCAGGTCTGAGGGGCCAACTTGGGTGTATGGATTTCACACTGAGAATGTGGATCTTTTAACTCCATAAACTATCTAGACATTTAACTCTATAAAAATAAAGAAAAGCTGAATTCAGTTCATGTGCCTAACAAATAAAGGCCTATCAGTGTCTCCATTTGACAGCTAAAGTATTGCAGAGCTGGACTTCAGGCTGGCAAGCAGATTGAAGATGTGATGTGTGAGAGGAAAGTCAGAACTAAATCCTGTGAAAGGGAGGGGAATGCTATAATGCCTCTCCCATGTTCACAATTGGCAATACTGTGGTTTTTAATCATACTTACCTCCCCAGTAGCACAGTTATGTTGCATAAAATCCATGAATCTCTTAAATTCTGTCGGCCACAGTCACACCTGGGATTATATTTTCTGCATGTTTTCTTGAGTAGCTAGGAGGAGTAATGAGACAAAACAAAGTAGAAAGCTGGGTCACTCTGTAGTGCTTTGATGTGGGATTTTTCTGCATCAAATTTAGATGCTTCCATGACACACATCCTTTTGATTCCAGCCCCATCTCAAATAGTACTAAATTCCATTTGCATGACAGTGGCAAGAAGAAAAAATTTTACTAGATACAAAAAAGACATATGCTGCTGTAAAATTACAAAGAGAGATGTAAATACTAAACATTTTAGCAGAGAAATATTTATTTCCATAGCTTATTTATTGTCATCTTATTACACTGTTAAGAAATACTGGGATGAAGTCTATGAGCTAGGGTAAGAACACCTGCCTGTTAAATTCTCTCTGAGTGCCATAATGCTGTCATCTTGCATTAACAGTGATAAAAGAGAAACCCCAAATCAAGGTATTTACCTAAATTCTCAGGGACTGCAGCTAGTACTTATCCACCATTACAGGACCTGGTATGTATGAAATAGTCTGATTTACCAGAATCAATGTTGCCAATGTTTTCTTTTTCATATTTCATGCTTGTCTGCCTCTGTACATATTACTGTGTTGTGTATTTATGAGAGCTAGTAAGCAATAATTTATATGTCAAAATGGCCAAGCAATACAAGGTTAAAACTTGTAGAAGCAACTGTTAYATTTATCTTGCATTTTTCAGTGTTTTTTAATATTGCTTTTCAAAATATAAAAACTACCTTAATGAACTCTGAGTTTTGTGTCTTCATGCCTATCACACTTGGTTATTGTTCCTAACTGGAATATTTTATGCTTGTCATGCTTTCAGTCATTCAATTCTGCCAAATCCACACTGTTTGCAAGGCAGGTGCAGCCAGTAGGCACCTCGTTGGAGCATGTTCTCTTTCAGAGCCGCTTACCCACCCCTGCCTGTTTGGACTTGCTGGTACCAACGTATGTTCCAGACAGAGGCAAAAGCAGAGATGATGTTAACAGTGCCCTTGGCCATGCCCTGTGACCATAGTACAGTCTTAGAGGGTCATGGAGCCATGGTAAGCATGGTAAGTGCTTGTGGGAGAGGGGAAGGGTGTTTTCAGACCCCCAGAGTCTGCACCTGATTCTCTTGGTGAGAAGAGCAAATGCTTTTCTCTGAAGCAGGGGAGTCCTGCTGGCCTTACATGCCTCCCTCCTCTCAGTGCATCTGCAGCAGGGTGAATACAAAGCCAGCCAGGTGCTGTGTAAGAGAACTGAAGCTCTCCTTCTACCCTTCCTACTTGCAAACCCCATGAACAACTAGCCCAAACCTGACTACTTCTCTGCTTGGTACTTAGGGCAAATGTCCTCTAAGTGCCTTCTTAAACAGTATCAAACCTGATCCACAAGGTGTTTGTGCCRGTGTAATTATTTGGATAGAGTGAATTTTCACTGGCAAAATTAAACCAGTACAAGTCCAAATTGGTGAGACAACTAGACAACTAAACTAACTATACTAACATTTAGTATAACTATACTAATGTTTAAAAATACTTTCTGCCACAGCCAGGAGGGCATCATCATGATAGCCTTATAAGACTCCCTTTGTTCTGAAGGAAGTTTCTGTCCCTTTCCACAGCCATTTTACATGGGAAATCCTCAAGGAAAAAATCCTCTTGCTTATYTTCAGGTTGAGAAAAGGCAACAGTCATGGAGAGACCTGCAGATAAGGCCAGGAATACTTTCATTTTGGAGGCAGAAAAGAGCCATTCAGGAGAGCTCAAAGACATAGCAGACAAGGAGGAAGCTTTGTGATCTTCTCATTGATGTGACTCAATGTATTGGTATATTCAACCACTTTTTCTATCTTTTAGGAAGAAGGGAGTAGCACTGGTTTTAGATATCAGTAGGATTGATTCTAGCTRTGGACTAGCTTTAGCAGTTAGCATGGTCTTGCTGTCCTAATATCCTCTCAGTGAAGCTTCAGCTACCAGAGCTAAAGCAATGCTAGAGGCTCTAAGACACAGTTAAAAATAAAAGCTTAGTGATGACAAACAGCCTTATTGTCAGATGCAATGACTAGCCATAAGGAAATAAATTGTACTGCAAACAGTGACAAATCATGCCACTGAGCCCAGCTGGAGTGTGGAGCTGCCTTCCCAGGGAAGTAGGTTAGGTGGGAGCAGTACTGAGCATAGCGAACTGACAGTGACCGAGCTTGCCCCCTTGACCTTGTGGGAAGAGGCTCTTGGGAGAGGCATCACCAGCTGAGACAGACGGCATGGAACACGCCATGCTACAAACAGCTGTGCTTTGCTGCCCAGGAATTCATCAGAAAAGGTAAATAGAGATGACTGAGCCCTAGAAATGGCAAAGAATGGGGGAGTAAACTCCAGATCAAGCACTTGCTAAGTTATACTGGSTTTTGACAAATGTTTGAGAGCTCTATGCAAGGAAAAACACTTGTCTTGTTGATAGGTCAATAAACTGCTACTGAATCTGTGTGGGAGGGATGCCTGCATTGGCTGGCCTCCAGCAAAACATGCCTGCTAGTGAGAGATTACTCAATTGAACAAACAAACTTCGAAGGAATTCAGCTCAGTAGCTCCAGGTGATCGTCCCTAAGCCATGAAACCTTTGAAAATACTTCCAGTGCTTGATTTTTTCAAGTTACGTCAAGCAAGTTGGAAAGTTTTCATCAAAACAAGCCCTATTATAGAGATTTCTTTCTTTCAAACAAATGTGCAAAGTTACATTCCTCTTCTATTGATTTTGGTTGGGTTTTAAAAAATCCAGAGGCACAAAGGCCAGTTTTTCTGTTGAGTCCTTGGCTACACTACAAAACTAAACTTACTGAATCCAGTTTCATATACCCTAACACAGTAAATTGCTTTATTTGCTGCTGATGCCAGTCTTATTAAAAGGCCAACATCTCCTTTCATGGTAGAACTCCAGAGAACAACCAGAGAGCTGCCAGATGCTGGGTACCTCATCACGATCCCAAGGTTGATAACTTTGTTATGACTGATGCCACAAGCATCAGACTCAGCTCAAGGCTATGGATAGTTTGAGCTTATGCTGTTCATTAGAGGCCCATATGAAGGTAGGAGCTGCTAGAGAGGAACAGGAAGTCACTGGGAATGATTTAAACAGCTCCAAAATACTAACTCCTGGGAAGAAATACCATGCAAAACTTATGAAAAACCTGCAGAAGTCATGAAGGTTGTTCAAAACTCAAGGACAGCAATTGAACATACATATTTTATAATATCTTAAAGAAGCCACTGTGCCTGCAATAAGTGATTATAGTCCTGGCCTCACAGTTCAAGAGCGGATTGTAGAAGTTGTCTTTACAGAAGAATTTGGAAAAGTTAAAATGAATTTGTTTTTGTGTGGATCAATTAAATTGTGTTAAACCTCTGTGTAGACACGCTTGATGTCTACATTTTGATAAGGTTTATACTTCATTCTATGTGATGTAAATCATTTGTAAACGAGTGTTTCTATGCAACAGTACTAACCAAATTTAATTTCATGCTTTTTGCTCATTCCTATTAAACCTCAGGTTATTCTGAAGGACTCCAGTGGACTTGGTCTGCATTTATACAAGTGCACATCATGACTTCGGCTGAGCAAAAGGAATTGCCTGTTGACTAGGGTTGTTTCCAGCAAAAGCTGCTGCTGCTTGTAAGAACTCCAGCAATACCAGTATCTTTCACTTTGAAAGCTCGGGTAGCACTGACTCCYAGTGACGAAACCGTGTGCGTGACGTGCCCGTTTCTTGCCTCGAAATTGCCTGTGTGACCTCCAGGGACTACAAGGAATAATGCAGCAGTGAGAGTCTCCTCTGTAGTCTGTGTCGTCCAGTGACCTGAAGTTATTAGATTTTTTTTACTCRGATTCCCATTTAATTGGACTGTTGGGATTATCCCTTCAGCGTTGTTGTGCCCATTTCCCCATGGACTTGGTCTTCAGGTTTTATGATGGAAGTGTAGCTTCACCTAGARGGAAGGCTAACAGAAACAAGGACAGGCACCTTCTGCTGTGTCCATGGCCGTATTGGCCGAGGCTGCGTGGTGTGGTACCCTGCACATTCACACCCAACACAGTGCAGCTCTCTGGATGAGGGTGGCAAAAGAGAGCAAACCCCTCGCCTGCTGGGAATGGCACAGGACTGAATCGCGTGTCTAACCAAAGTAGCAGCTTCAGGAACAGAAGGAATGGGTTTTCTCTGAAAGGTGTTGCTGCATATGTGGCCTTGCAGCCTTTGTGACAGTTCTCACACCGCTGGCATTGTTTTGTACAGCAGTGCTGGCTCCGATTGCAAGCAATTACCTGTCACAAGCCAGCTGCTCTATGAAATCAAGTCAAGGTGCTGCTGGTTTGGAGTCTCTTGCGTGTCGTTGTCCTCAGGGCATGAAGCAAGGCTGTGCTGGGCTGTCACCCACAGTGTGGGTCCAAGGCACATTTGGCAGTCAGTTGCTTTCTAATATGCTAGTTTATAACCCAGTGAGTACCAAAAGGAGTAAAATTCAGAAAGGCTGAGCATTCCTCCTCTTGTGACAGCTGCAGGTCCTACGGACTTTAGAAAAGTCAAAACTAATCAGTTTTTTTTTTTTTKTTTGCCTATCTTGGGAAGGTTGGAGGAATATGAATTCTTTCAAGTGAATAATTTACATTCATATCATATAGTTTTGAAGTAGTGTCCAAAAACCATCTAAAAAGTAAAGTATTCGCTTAAACCAGAGCTGTTTGATAAATTCTGAAATTCAGCAAAAAGCTAATGTAGTACGTTAGCAAATACATTCATGAYAAATTGATCTCAGCAGTGGCCTGAGGCACATGCAAGTTGCAAATTGTATTTTATTCTGTTGCTGGACCTAATTAATGCAGGCAGCTTAAAAGGGGATCTCCTCAGGGAGACTAGTCACCTGAATATGGTGACTCTGGTCACAGTGATAGCCAGCAGGTCAGTATGGTGGCCACTAATATTTGCTCTTCCCTGAACTTAGGATGGCTGCCTACGAACAGCTACTAAAAGGAATGCCAATAAAGCTTGTTCACTTAGTGTCACTTATAGGGATCTGAAACACATTAAACATCCTAGTTGTTCAAATTCTCTCACTCACCACCATACACAGAGATGTTACTATCCCTGTTTCACAGATGACAAAAACTTAAGAAACAGYGAGCAGAAGAGACTTGGCTAAGACC